TCTGCACCACTGCGCAATGTGGAATTTTGCAGAAATTAATGTGCGCTCAGAATTTCCTTTCCCCCCACAGAAATGAGCTGCAGTGCTGCTAGCCATCACTAGGGTCTGCTGGACCCTGAAGAGCCCAGCTTGCACATCGAAGACACGGAGGGAGGGAGGGAGGGAGGGAAGGAGAGGGAGCTAGATGGTTCCTGGCAGCTGGAGTTCCCAGTATGCCCTGAGGGAAGGAGAAGGCAGAATGCAGGGAACTCCATGCAAGCCTGGGACCGAGCATCAGGCTGTTTCTCCCTCTGGATCCCTGGGCTCTGGGGGTGGAGGGGGACAGGTGTCTGGGAAAGAGGGAGCCCCTCAGCTAGGACTGGGGGGAGACGGGGTGCAGGTATCTGGGCTGGGGGGCCTGCGGCTGGGCTTGGAGGGATGTGCGGGTACCTGGGCTGGGGGAGCCCCCACAATTGGGCTCTGGGGAGGAGACAGTTAGGGTGAGCTGGGGGGCTCCTGAAGGTGGGCTTTGGGGGGGTGACTTCCTAGCTGGGCTCTGGGGGGGCGAGGCAGCAGAGAAACAGAAACAGAACCCTATGGGTTCTCATAGGGGTTTCTTTAACACTGTACTCTGGGGAAATTTGTGTGTGTCTGTATTGTTACAGACATACTTGCTGGCAGGTATTTTGAAATAAATTACCAAAATAATTGAAGCTGGCATGATTATGTAGTGTTATTTTGACAAATAACATTTGCAGAATTTTAAAATATTGTTTGCAGAATTTTTAATTATTTGGCATAGCATTTTTAATTTTTTGGCACAGAATGCCCCCCAGAGTAATATCAGTTGGAGGCAGACACTTAGCATGGAAAATTTCAACTCAAACTGTTAAAGATTAGCAAAATTATAAGCAGTTGTAAGCCAGGTCTTAAAATGAGAAGTATTGGGCAACCTTAAGTATAATACCACTTATAACTAGGTGAAAATTCCAAGTCCCACCAAAATACTGGTCAGACCCATATAGTGAGAGAGCCTGGTCTATATATGTAACTCTGCTTCCCTCTGGACAACAGCTTCCAGGATTCTCACTCGTTCACTCACCCTTCTCTCTGCAGAGTGTGGGGCTTGAATGATGAAGTGATATGTAGGGAGTCATCAAAGGAGTACTCATTTGTCCTGCATCTAGTCCTTGTTCAGGAATGATTTAGATGCTCTTGTATCCATTTCAACTAAACCCTGGCCTTGTATTTTTATGTGTAATTAAAGATTAGGAGGTTCTTTCATCCTGAAGCTGAAACATGATCAACAGGGCAGACCCCTGAAGCAATCTACAGATGTCTGAGGATCAAAAATCTTCAGAGGTAGGAAAGCTTCCGAAATGATTTATGCTGGAGGCATGAGACGCAAGAGTAAGCCTCCTGCATCAGGATGTAAATTTTCATAGGTCCAAAGAAGCACATGGAACTATGATAATTCTTACCAGCTGATATGCCCTGATATCTTCAGATAAGTAGAATTACAGGTAATTTAGTCTTTTAAAAATAACTAGATTACATAGACATGAAGAAAAGCAGACTGTTAGGGGCTGGAAACTTTTAATGATGGACACTAAACATATGAAACTTCAGATTTTCTCTTTCAGATTAGAAGACAGCACACATTTTTCTAAGAACTCTCTGAATGTAAAGCTTTAAGTATATTTTCCTTATATCATGATCAGTTAACATAACCTCTTGTTTTCATGAACAAAAACTAATGCCAGTGATAGGCCACCCGTCAAGGCTGAATCCCCACTCTGGCACTTTGAGTACAGAAGCTGGGAGCCCACAAGGATTTTTAAAACTAATACTTGCCACTTCAGGCTTGTATTAAACTCCCAAGGTTATAACTTTTCTCTGACCTTGGCTTGGTAAACGCTGCCACCACCCAAATGCAAAAAAACCCCTTGGACCCAGGAAGGAGCACTTGGGAATTCCTCCCTGTGGGGTACCCTCAAGCCCTTTTACCCCCGCCCCCTTCCAGGGAAGAGCTGAGAAAGAAAACAAAGGAAATTAGCTGTTGCTACCAGCTAATCAAACATTCACAAACCTCTTAGGACACCAAAAATCCAATCCTGTTCTTAAAGGTAAATTTTATTAAACACAAAAAGGAAACAAAAATACATCTGGAACTTAGATTTTTGCTAGATTTTGAAAGAGCAATTCCAAAAATTACTCACTCAAAATAGCTTTCTTGGGGGTTTAGCTTAAAGGTTACAAGCAACCAAAAGCATCTGGGGTTAGCTCAGAGGAGATTCACATGCCAAAATAAAGAAATAAACCTGATCACATCTATCTAAACATTCCTAATTTACTTACATATTTGGGAGATTTCAAATAAGTAATTCTAGGTATGATCTGACGATCATTCCTGGCTTAAAGCTTTGTACAGCATTCCTGCTGCCCTCTGTTCCCCTCTTTTCTGGAGAGACACAACAGACACAAGGGAATGCTTCTTTCCAAATTTAAAAAAGTTCTAGCCCTTTACAGGTAAAGCAAGCAGAGAACAGACACCAAGAGGGATTTTACAGCTAACTGGCTGGCTGGGTGTCCATAAAAGGGAGCTACCCCCTCTTCATTTATCACACCATTTGTTCTGAGGATTAAGCTTCCCAATGCCACAACCATGGCACGGATATTTTTATTTATTATTTGTGTTCTTCACCGTAGTGTCTGTAGCTATAGCATTTACTGCTGCTCCATTCCAATTTCTTTTTCCTCCAGTGAAGTGGGGGTTGTGCAGAAAAAGGAGTACTTGTCTCAGTTTATATGGCAATGAAGAAATTAAGAGCTGGCTGTACCTTGCTAACAGTTAAGAGTGCTTCTCAATGTCACGGTTACTTGTGAGGAGAATGTGATAATGAAAGTTGTGCCTCGCATCTGTTCCCAAGACTGTTGGGTTTTTAATTAATGTTTCCTGGAAAATATAAGACCAAAACCAAGTTTCATTATATTGTTCAAAGAACACTAATAGAGTCTCTTCTGCAATTACTACTGATGTAAGGATAAGGTTAAACAGAAATTAAAAGGAACAACAGTCACAAGAATGACATGCTTGCAAGCTGCATGGCAACTTTAAAAAAATACCACAATAGAAGCTCAAACTAAATGTGTATCCCATTTTTTTTTAAAAAAAAAGGAAGAGTACCAAAACAATGCCACCATAGCTAACCAGCAGAGTAAAAGAGGCCATTAGAGACCAAAATACATCTTTCAAAAATTGGAAGTCAAATCCTACTCAGGAAAATAGAAAGGCACATAAACTCTGGTAAGTCAAGTATAAACATGTAATTAGGCAGGCCGCAAAGAATTTGAAGAGCAACTAATGGAAGCAAAAACCAACAGCAATTTTTTTTTGAACTACATCAGACGCAGGAAGCCTGCCAAACAATCTGTGGGGCTACTTGAGGGGCTCACAGATCACTCAAGGAAAATAAAGCTGTTGCAAAGAATATATTTAGCTTCTCCGCCTCTCTCTTCACTACGAAGAATGTGAGGGAGATTCTCATATCTGAGCCATTCTTTTTAGGTGACAAATCTGAGGAACTGCCCCAGATTGAAGTATCAATAGAGGATGTTTTGGGAACAAATTGATAAATTAAACAGTAATAATCACTGGGACCAGAGGGTATTGACCCAAGAATTCTGTGTGAGGGGATGAATCAGGTACCATACTTATACAATCTTTGGCTTCTTTGCTGCACTGGATAAGAAGGCATGGCAACTATGATCTGAACATCCATTAGGGACTGGGCTGAGGTCACCAACTCTTTCCCATGGGTTACTAAAAAGATATGGGATCATAATGACTTTGCATCACTGTTGACTGGAGCTGATTTTGAAATACTGACCTTGAGATAAAAGGCTCTATAGCCCACTAAATGCAGTGTAGCTATCCATGCCAGACGTTATTTGGTTTGAAAGTTTACCTCAGAATTAAGGAGCTTTGAGACATTGTTGCAAAATGATGAGCTTTTAAGTATGTCTTTTACTGGATGGCATTATATAAATGCAGTTGTTGATTAACAGTTCTGAAATACCTTTGTCTTGAAGTTAGCTGCAAAAGATTAGTGTTGATATCCAGAGACATATTTTTTATAGCACAGTGGCATCCATTGTATTGAATATTTAGATGTAGAGCTGGAGTTGTACTTGCGTAAGTCTTTGTTTGAATAGATACCATCTAGTAAAATAACTTTTCATTGTCTACCAGTTTTGCCTTTTTGAGTAAAGAACTAATTTTACAATTCTTCCCTTTGAATAATAAAGGGATCATTCAAATTCTGCTTTTCATATGATATTCCAAAAATATTTTGAGTAAATATATCCTTATAAACAGAAATAGTATTTAGAATGCACATCCTCCGCTAGTTACTCAGGAAAAATTCCCACTGAAGCCAGATAATCTAGTTCTGAGTTTACATCAGCATTACACTATTGTACCTTCAATTTTTTCTAATTTAAAGTGTTATATTTGTAAAATCCTTGCTATTGAGTACTTGAATAAAAAAGGACCCAGTAGTTATTGAATATTAGTTTCATGGCAGGTACTGTTTAGGTAGTTAATGCTACTTAATTAAATACATAATTTAGTTAGTTTCAGAGTAACAGCCGTGTTAGTCTGTATTCGCAAAAAGAAAAGGAGTACTTGTGGCACCTTAGAGACTAACCAATTTATTTGAGCATGAGCTTTCGTGAGCTACAGCTCACTTCATACCACGGTATGCATCCGATGAAGTGAGCTGTAGCTCACGAAAGCTCATGCTCAAATAAATTGGTTAGTCTCTAAGGTGCCACAAGTACTCCTGAATTTAGTTAGTGATGTGATTGATTGAAGAGTTAAAGACACTGTTTGGATATACTGAGTCATTTCACACCAGAAAATGTGATGGCTGAAGAGAGCAAACAGTTGAGTTGTATATACGGAGTCCATTCTACTCTTCTGTGTTCTTATACACCTCCTTTTTTTTTCCCCTTCTCAGCTGTAAGCACAAGGTATACTTGGAAAAGCTGCCAAATACTAGCATAATTATCCCATTTCATAACGAAGGATGGACTTCACTCTTGCGAACCATATACAGCATTATCAACCGGACTCCCGACATCCTTATAGCTGAAATCATTCTTGTGGATGACTTCAGTGACAGAGGTAAGATCCAGTGGGTAAGATTGTGACTATGTAGAAATTAAAGGAGAGGAAAATATAAAGAAACAAAATCTGTTTGACCAGTTGTACCCAGAAAAGATCGGTTTAGTTGTTATAGTTTGCTCATGCATTGAGCACTGTTTGTTTAGTTAGGTTTTCATGGATAGCTTGTGTGTTACTATGGATGAAGGGTGAAATATATATTAGATTAAGAAGAAGAAAAAGATAAAAGTTCTCTCATGCCTTCCCACTAATAAAATGTTCAAATTGGTGTATCTTTCTGAAATGCTGCAAATTGTAATGTTGTAAACATCTTTTTTTCTCTAGGCTTTATTCTCTCCAGTAAAAACCTATTAACTTTCACCTTTTGGATGTGACTTGACAGATTTCTTAACTTACGTTTATTGCATGAGGCAGCTCCATTTAACTGTACAAAATAGCCATACCGAAGAATGACAATATAATTTTTTCCAAATATTAGTCTTTTGACTAGAAAGGGATAATTGCTTCAGAACATGAGTTAGTTGAAATTTCTAGAAGTCTGGATACAGTAAAACTAAAAAATCTCCTTTTTTGTTTTGTTTTTTTTGTTTTGAAGCCTTAGCCTCTGAGTTGCTGAAAGTGTTCGTCATCCTCCATCATTAGTTCTTGAATTCAATATCATGGTAAAATCCAACAATGGCAGCTTGAGATTTTGATAAAAAAAATCAAATAATTATTTCTTTTCAAGTGTACATTATTTTTCTGATCCTAAATCTTGTAAACAACTTTGAATATTAAAACTATCAGTGGGTACTTGATTTAGGTGAACCTTTCTCTGAACTGCAATCCACCAAAGTTGTTGCTCATCTCCAAATGGATTGATATGTGGTATAAAGGGGAAACTGCATTCTTGGGTAGTTTTCTAGATAATTAGCTTTTGTCTCAGTATGGAATTTATCAGAGCAAATTTCTGACCTACAACTATGATGGCAGGAAGCCTTTAGGTGTCTGAGAAAAATGTTTGAGGACCATTGCTGTGACAGAGCATTTCTCAGCAAGATTTTTATTTCACAATAATATTTGGGGGTGGAGGGAATGGTGACACATGCATCTATCTTGGCTTCTCATCACTGTCATCTCTATTGCCATATAGATTTTGATGAACTGTCCTTCTACATATAATGTAGTTTAACTGTAATCATGAAGTAAGCAAGTGTAATGCTGGCTGCTCCCTGCTTGATAGATTCTATACTATGACCAGAGTTTTCTGGGACAAGAATCATAAGGTAGCGTTGCAATTTTTCGACAGGCAAGTGATTTTCCAGTAGTAAACAATTTGTAGAGACATCTGTAAGGAGAAGTCTTACTGGTTGTCTGAAAACATACTAGAAGTTAAAAAGAATAATTTTACTACAAGAGAACATTGTTACTGAGACCTTGTTCTCTCATAATCACTCATGACCATATATGTGTTGGGAATATGATTGTATATTAGTGGTGTTTTATGAAGGTTTTACTGACTATAAAAGTAGCTTTTATAATATTAAATGTTATTGGTCTACCAGGTTTAAATCTACCTCCTGGTTACGAGAGAGAGTCAGTTACAATTAATCAAAGAATCTTGTCTCTCTTTTAGCAGTTTTCAGTGTGTTGGTTTGTTTCTAGTGAGGGCCCTCTCCTGTAAGCAAGACCTCTCTTTACCAGGGTGAAAATATTTTCTGTGAATAAGTGTCACCACATTTCAACTTTTAGAGTACATTTTCAAAACATTGTGCAAAGTTTTAGCCAAACTCTATGGGAGTCACAAAGTTCAAAACGGCATGCAGCTTTGAGAAAGTCTTAACCCAACAAGACATTTGTTGTTAATACAGGGATAAAGATAAGGCTTCTGAAAGAGACAGTACAAGACTGTGTCCTTCTGAAAAATAAATACTAGTTTAAAGAAATTACTTGCCAAACCTCTGTTCCTACCTCAAAGATGCTTGACACTAAAATAGTGTTTAAAAAAAAATCTTCCAGTGCAAAATGCTGATTCAATTGTATCTAAACATTTCATGGAAACTTGAATTGCTGTGGGGGCTCTCCAGCTCCATAATAGTAGAAATACCTTATCTGTAATTAGTAAAATCCGTTCTTCATTCTGTACGGGAACTTTTTGGAAGACTAGGAGAGGAAGCAAAGAAGGCATATCTAAATCAGTCTAGGGCTAATTAATCTCTTGGATACATGTGTTATTGAAATCCATGGGAATAGAGAGCAAATTGTTGTACTCTATCACCTCTGTGCTGGAGATGTTTTCACATGTGCTAGTGATGAATGTGTATCCATTAGTGTCATTGTCCTTTTTCCTAATAAGTGCCATATTGTGGGTGCCTGATTTATTCTAGTTCCTCTTGTTCTGGACCCAGTTATATTGTTTAAATAATGTTACATTTGTGCCATGGTATTCAACTGAAAAGCGTGAACTAGTGCACTCTGCCATTAAAGTTTTTATGTGGTTCAGGATGGGAGTAGGTTCATTTAAACTGTACTTATCCCTTCCAAATTATTTTAAAACTGATGGTAGGTGTCTAGCATTCCCTCACAGGTCCCTTTATTAATCAACTCTTCTTCAAAACACTGTTGAGGAGAGATTACTAAGCGACAGTTGGAAATACAATTATTTAGAAAAGTGGAGAACACTTAACTTCACAGGACTGTAAAAATAGATGAAGGAATGTCAGTTCTTTTCTTATTTTATATTCTTACCTAATGCTAACGCTGAAGTGCATATAAAGAGTCTTAAATGACAGACAGCAAAAATGTTTTAGTGCATAGCATACCACTGAGCATTTGGCTAGACTATTTATGAAAAGTTGTTTGTGTGCCTTGATTTTATTCACATTTATTCCTTCAGCTTTAGCTATCAATACCAAAACCTTTGGATTGTTCATGCATAACATTAGCAATAAATTATGACATGTAGATGATATAAAACTGGAAGAATGACTATACCTTTTAAATTTTGATATAACCAAATCTAGGGAGCTGGTATAAAAAAGGAAGCTAAACAAACGTTATAAAATATTGCCATGCAATATTTATTTATGAAAAAATTCAGTATTTGATGACTGTGTGAATGAAAGAAGCTCTCACAATCCGGAGGCAGAAATCTACATTTTGGTATATCTCAGAAGTCACAGTATCTTAAAAAGCCTTTTTTTCATATATTTCCTATTACATCTGAAGAAATCAAAGAAAAATGTATTGATGTATTTAGTAGAAATAGTTCTTTTCTCTGGTTGTCTTAACAACAATGCGGTAAAAAAAGGGATGTGAAACTTTAAGTGAGCCATAGTGTTTTATATGATCATAACAAGAATGTAAAACATAGTGTATTGTCAAGGTCAAAGAGAAATGAGCCTGAGTCTTAAAAGAACGTAAGTAAAGGGGTGATCGGGGCGGGGGGGGGGGAGAGAAATTCAAAATACAAATACAAAACATAAAAAAGAATATACTGTCATTTAACAAGCTCTATAAGAGACAAGTGTTTTATTTCCATGGCATGATTTGTCTGAAAAGGCACTAACTTGGGAGCTAATAGTACTATATTACAGCAGACCTCTAGAATCAGGGGTTTGCTTCTCTTCTCCTAATGAGCTGAAGTCTGTTCTCTCAGTTAGAAAACTGCACTGATTTCTGTTTAACTGTGTTCCAGCTCTGTGTCATTGTACGACTTATACTTCTAAAATATATATATGATCATTTTTCTGTAAAGCCCTCTTCTAATTAAGACCTTTATCAGCTGTAAAATCATTTGGTGATGCACAATATTTTCTTCCAAATTGTTTTACTGTATTTTTGCCATATAAAGTTGCTGTCTATTGAAAGCTAGAAAACAGGTTAAATCTTACATATGTAAAAGAATACAAAAGAGATCTAATTCTAATTTTGTTCAGAAGAAATGTGAAACATCTTTGAAAATCTTCGGGTGAAGAATATTCCAGTACCTGATCCATGCAAGCCCTCTTTTTGCATATAGTGCAAGCAAGCCTCTTCAAGTTATACATCCAGGAGTTTAAAAATAGTCTAGATCAGTGGTGGGCAACCTTCAGCCCACAGGACGCACGCGGCCCGTCAGAGTAATCCGCTGGCAGGCCATGAGAAATTTTGTTTACATTGAGCACCCTTAGGCATGGCCGCCCGCAGCTCCCAGTGGCCGCGGTTTGCCGTTCCCAGCCAATGAGAGTTGCGGGAAGTGGTGGCCAGCACATCCCTGCGGCCTGCACTACTTCCCGCAGCTTCCATTGGCCGTGAATGGCAAACTGCAGCCATTGGAAGCTGCGGGTGGCTATGTCTGCGTACGGTCAATGTAAACAAACTGTCTCACAGCCTGCCAGTGGATTATCCTGACAGGGCGCAGGTTGCCCACCACTGCTATATGCAGTGCTCACCAGTGATAAAAACTGGTACGTTATAGAAGGTGTAGTTTAGCATCTCACTGGCTCTTCACTGTATTCCCCTTGGGGAATACTTCACACATTCTTCATTCATGTAGCTCCATGCCCAATTTTCCAGGGGTTTCTTGCCTGGTTTATTTAGTTGTTGGCTATTTTGTTTAGATTCTAACTTTCCTTGGACAGGGACTATATCTTCCTCAGTGTCTGTAGAGAATCAAGAGCACCATCAATGTTCAGATAATAATATCCAGCAGCAGCCAGTTTGGCCATATAGCACATGTCTGACTTTATTGCTTCATGCAAGATTGCAAATAGTGATTTGGCAAGGTTGCGGGCTGCCTGTTTTAAAAGCAAAGCAGTTGTTGTTCAGCGTCAGAACTGTATGTCTTTCTCAAGAATAATAAATTCAGTCTGTTTTATGGCAGATTAAATCCCATTTATTTTACTTGCAGAAGCTTTTTGAGTAGGATGTCACTTGTGACACCAGTTTATAGGTGCGTGGCTTCAGATGTTGGGCAGGCATAACTTTTAGCGATTGAATTAAGGCTATGTGCCCCACACTACAAGAAGGATGTGGAAAAA